AATTGATGATAAGAACTTGTGCAATTGATTGGTGTCCAGATAAGGAACTTAAAACAGTTGATCCTGGGGTGCCAATCCAGGTGGTGTTGTTGTGCAAAGCAAATTCATCCATTTAGTGCTCCCACCACACTTAAAGGTTCAGTGTGTACAATTTAGTGACATTTAGTGGTGAAGTTGCATATTGCAGCCGAATGCCCCTTACCTCACCTTTCCCCTCCAAACATGAAAGATAGTAGCCTTCAGTTATCAAAAAAATTCAAAAGGTGTTTAGTTTGTCGAGTCTGGGCTACTGTAAAAACACATGGCGGCCTCCGTAGAGGACCCTGATATAAATATAACATATTTAAACATAAAAGGCACATTCTTTGTACAATTTAGATGAAACACTAGTGAAAACATCACTAGGATTATTTAATATTAAATTTCTGCCAATAGATCCCTTTCACCTAAATCACACCGGACCTTCAAATAATTTCATGACGTGTTAAGTTATTCATTAAGTCAGAAAATGACATCAAGGATGCATTTTCAAGTATCTCTAGACATGACCTAAAGCTTTTATAGATCGAAAAAAAATGTTCATATGGTAGGAATTTAATCATCATGTTAATGAAGTCAGAAAATGACAGTTTAGTAATCCATTAATTTGCAACAAATAAGAATAGAGACAACATACACCTTATTTAGTATGTCACGCTGAACCAACACTGTCAATCTTCAGGGGAACACCAAGGATACATTACTTGAGAACCACACATTTCTATGCAAAATCTTGTGCCAATCCACCTATTTGTTGAGATATTTCAGTCTTGTGGACCAATCCAGCCATCCCTTAAGCCAGCATGGCCGAAAACTATAGAATCAGCAAAATGTTTAAATCTGTGTTCAGTGAGAACTGTTACATACCACTTTCCAAGTGAGGCCCTGGTTCCAAAAAGAAGAGCCCTCTTCCAAACTGAAAAGGGTACCACCTATAGGCGCACCAAAAGCAGCAGCAACTCCAGCAGCGGCACCCGCTGACACAAAGTCACGCTTGTCCCTGAACAAATAAAAGAAAATACAATATTTGTACCACATTTTGACCTCCAGGGAAGTCCTGAACAGTGTGCAGTATTTTTTTTAATAAGACTCTACCATTGCCATACCTGTCGCTACGGAAATAGGGAAAATCAAATTTGATCCTTTTGAAGGTGATGCTCTGAAACTGAAAGGGAGAAAAGATCTGATTAGCACACTTGAACCATTTTTAAATGCATTAGTGCCTGGACCTTATCAACTGTGGTTTTTGCAACTTAATCAAACTGTAACCAGTAAAATCTGATTAAATTCTAAATGATGCAAAACTAATTTTAGTCAATCTGAGTTGAGTCAGGTTCAGTTGAGTTGGTAAATAGTAAATAGCCTATATAGAGAGCTTTTCTGGTCTAGATGACCACTCAAAGTGCCTTACAGTATGGTATTTTTGCCTTTCACACACACATTCATAGAGTGCATCTATGGGCAGCACTTTCTCTATGATAACAGCACAGCCATCTAAGGCAGTATGAGGTTCATTATCTTGCCAAAGGACACTCAAACCACCTACCTTCTGGTTACAGGAAAATCCGCTCCACTAAGTTAAATTATTGTATCAAATCAAATTAAGAGACTAGAGTGTGGGGAGATAAAATATTTAATACATTTTTTCCTTTTTTATCGAAACTCTGGACTACTTTCAGACAACACAGTGCAAGTTGTATGGTGACAACAATGATACAACAAAGAGTGAAGCCAATATGAGGATCCAGCAGTAACTTAGTTAAAAACTAATTCCTTCCTTTTAGTTTTCTGTGCAGAGCTGAAATAATGAAACGGTAAAAAAAACAGTTAGGGTTCTATACTCAAAAGGCTGTAAATGCAGAAGACTGCTAATGCCATATATTAGCTTCAGCTGAGGTTTTAGGATGTTTATGTTTTTTTTCCACTGTTGATGTTGTGTTCAAGATGTTGTGCAGTTTACCTGGGGAAGGCCAGCTCCAACAATGGCTCCACTGTGTATCATTGGACCCTCTTTCCCCACAAACAGACCTGAGTAGACATAGATGATTCAGAGGCACTGTTCACCCACCACTTCATTGACCCTCAGTCATCACCAGTACAGGACATAAATGATGGCCTTGTTTGATGAGTCACAATATCTTAAGCTGAAACTAAACAAAAACTCCAAAGCTTAAAAATCAATTTAGCAATGTGGTTATGCTGACAGAAATGTAGCCACATTTCTAGAGGACTTTTTTAAAGATTTGACCCAATAATTTCAAAGACATTTCACACAAAATTGTAAAAAACTCTTATTTCTTAAGTCTTGGTCTGATTGCCTACAAAATCTCATAAGGCAAAGTAACATCTACAGTAAGAGCTACCAATTCTGGCAGTGCTAGTGTGGCATCTAGCATACTCAGGCCCCATGACCCCATCAGATTACCCATTTGATTCCTTCTTATGTGTGTGGAATAGGGTTGGCTCACCCAAATAAAGTTAGTTTTTGAGGAAATCAGGTCGGGTTTGTTGAAAAATCTAACTCTTCACTCTGGAGCAAAATCAAACTCTTATAACAATTCTAACCACATCTGAGGTCACGGTTTGCTGAACCAGCAAAGAGAAAATATCAAAGTAACAAATAAACATTTTCTGCTCACAGTAGGGAGTGCTATGAACAAGACTGAAATTTAGCCTGTAGAATTTTAAGCCTTGTCTCAGCAAACATGATAAATATTTAGAAATATCTGATGATGCAGCAGGGTTGAGCTACAGTTTAACTGTTGATGATGTGTATGAAAATTAGCAGCAGTATGGGAACTGCACCGTTTGATAAAAAAGCTTCACAACATTCCAGCCAGGTCTTAACAGTTTACTGACTAAATTTGAGCAGGATGTGAATAATCTACTACAAGTGATATGTAAATGTGTATATATATTATAATTTTCTAGTCACCAGTGGGTAGGGATATGGCTGTCATTCAAAATTTGTCTGTAGATGTTCTCAGAGTGAGATAAAGATCTGAATTTCTGTAATCTAGTTACAATTCTTTAAAATGCCATGGCAAAGGATTGAAATTCAGTATGATGTCAAAGGTTATCAAGGTCCTGAGCTGAGTATAGTTAACCTACTAGGAGAATGACACTGTGTAAAAATCACATCAATTAAAGTGTGCAAAAAAGTATGTAAATACAGCACAAAAACTATATAAAAACATGTTGAAAGAATGTTGATGTTAAAGTTTCAGGAACTTTAATATATCAATTAAATGACCAAAAAACACTGCTCATCTTTGATGAGCTTGCAATTTATGAATATATTTTCACTTTATCTTGATAAATATTGTAATAGTGGGGCATTTTCTCCCTTTGCCATGTGATCTGAAAATTCAGTGTAAAATAAGTTTGTATTTGCCGGAGAATCATGCATTCATACTTTACCTCCAGCCACACTGAACAGAACTCCAGTTGCCTTGCACAGAAAAGTTCGCAGCCGGACAATTCCAGGAATTTTCACGCCATTCAAGTAACTTTTAATTTCTGGTATCCCAGAACCAGTAGCTACTGGCTGCATGATGGGGCACCAAAACATAGCATGTTAGCATTCTTAGTCAGTGTGTTCTCTAGTATCACAAACACAGTTTCTCTGAACAATTCCTAAAAACACAGTTGGTCCTAAATAATGTGCACAAGAGGTTTAATTTATTTATTTGGGTTATTCATTTTTTTATCATAAATATTTCATATTTCAGGAACAAACACAATTCACGAGTGGTGCAGACCTGCCGTAGAAATCACGTGAAATTAGTCTAAAAAATGTGTCTTGATTTTTATTTTTTCAAGTAATTAAAAAATTTAATAAATGTAATAAATTTTCATAAATGACACCTCATAATTATTTTCAACTCTGCATTTCAAATCATAATATTTTCTAAATTCATTAATCTAATCTTATCTATCTAGATGTCCCTGCACATAGCAATAGCTTGCTAATTGGTTAATTAGCTCATCACTGGCTCATTCTGGTTAACCAGCAGACAATCTGCTATCCTTATGTACGTTTGCTCAAATACGGTGGGATTAGTCATTTTTAAACTGGTCAGACACATATCTCTGAAGTTAAAAGTGTTTGCTTTTCTTGGTTATGTTTGTACCAACCCACCTTGTCAACAAATGTAATAGAAATTCAAGACAAGGACACAAAAATGTTCTTGTATGAGGCCAAGTGAAACAACAGACCACAAAAACTCTCAAGGCTTAAAAACTTGATGAGTCTTTACAATAAACTGCACATACTATAGTTTAAGTTGTAGAAACCTGAATCAACAGCTTCAAGTTACATATATAATGGATTGGTAAAAAAAAAAAAATAATAATAATTTGGGATTTCTTACCTCAATGAGGATGAGCACACTAGCAATGAAGACAAAGGTCAAGTTAAATGCCAGGAGTTCCACCAGAGACAGAGGAAGACAGCCTTTGTCACTACACTTCTCTATAGCTGGATGTGCTCAGTTAAGGTTTAACTAAGTTGGTTTCTAAATGTGTATGTCACTGAGTGGGAACAATATGTATGATACGTCAACTGATTGTTGGTGAAAATGTTGCTCAGGGCTATACGTCTTGTCATGTACAGTCACCATGCTGCCCTGATATCTTGGGAGCTAAAGGAGCTACACTGGTTCAACCTGCAAATGCTTTGGATTCCCTGGTGAATAGCCAAGGTTCCAAATCAGTAAGCCACCTCTCCATCACAGTGAATAAAGTAATTTCTGAAGGCAAAGGAGTAAATGAACAAAAGACACATGGAGCAAGAGAGAGCAGTACAGCAGCAGTAACCTGCATTCTGTAACATAAATACACATCTGACATCCAGCAGCTTAGTCTATTAATGTTTCTGTGTTGAAGGATACAATCACCAACCAGGGTAAATTTGATTTTAGTGAAGAGACGAACAAAGAAATCCACAAATAGGCCCACCTGAAAGCGACATGGCAGTAATTTTCACTCATTTGCAACATGTTGGACTAAAAAAAATAATAAAACACAAAATTATAGGTAGTACACCTACCAGACCCACTGTGACTCCAATAGTGAACACCATCATCCATCGTACTGCTTCATACTTTTTTGCTTTCTATTGATGGATAGAAAAAATTGTAATTGACATAAAATATTTAAAACTGAGAATTAAAACCATGCAAATAATGCCCACAATGAAAATTGTGGGTTTAAAAAAATACATACATACTAAGTGTGAGCTCTCACTTGTGTGAAAAGAAGTTCCAAAATCCCTTCATAAAAGTCTCATTCTTTGTCAAATGATAACAATTAATTTCACAGTTATAAAATTTGACATTCTGATTTGATCATATAAGAAACCGATGGAACTGAAATTGTATGTGTCTCTGGTTGCAATTAAAGGGATATTTTAAAGAGACATTGTATGTTTTGTAGACTCAACCATTATAGTGGTGAGTAGATGATGAGTGAATTTTCATTTTTCAGTGCACAATCCCTTTAAGGAATATTTGAAAGGTGGCCCTGTGATGTGTGGCAAGAGTATTTGGTCACATTTTGTGTGTTATCAGTATTGCAGCGCGTTTTACAATGCACATATGAAATTGATGAAAATATTATCTCCACTTGCATGTGTTTTGTCTATTTGCATGTATTTTCTTAAAGGAGAAATTCGTTTTTTTTCTCAACCTTGTCTTTATTTCCAACATATGGTATGTAGATCTACTCACCTATAAAAGTTTGGTGAAACTTGGAGTCCTTCGGACGCTTTTAGATCCACACGCAATCGGCATATATACGTACAACGCAAGTGACTGGGGCACACACAATACAGCCTCTAAATAACGCATTATCTGCCGCGAAACTCTTTATTTACTATGAATCTCCGGCACTAGTCCCCTGTGAGTCTCGCCAGCCTCGGAGCTAGCGTTAGCTTAGCGAGTTGCTTTGTTTACATCCTGGGCTTTCACTGGGGTGACGTCACAGAGGCGCGCAGCCGCAGCTCAGCTGACGATCAGCTGTTTTTGTTTACACAGAGTTTGCTGCTGCTAGTTTTGCATGGCAGAATAATTATCAGGTGCTGTACAGTATTATTTTAAAGCAGCTGTGTCCTGGTGCTAGCTAACTTCAGCGGGCTAACGAGCAGCCTCTGAGCTAGTGTTAGCTTAGTGAACCGATTTGTTGATTAAACAGGAAGACAACTCGCTCTCGGTTCGCCAAGCTAACGCTAGCTCCGAGGCTGGCGAGACTCACAGGGGACTAGTGCTGGCAATTCATAGTAAATAAAGAGTTTCGTGGCAGATAATGCGTTATTTAGAGGCTGTATTGTGTAAGCCCCGAACCCTTGCGTTGTATGGATATACGCCGATCGCGTGTGGATCTAAAAGCGTCCGAAGCACTCCAAGTTACTCCAAACCTTTATGGGTGAGTAGATCTACATACCATATGCTGGAAATAAGGACCAGGTTGAAAAAAAACTTCCCCTTTAATAGCACAAAACATTTTCGGGCCACCTTTCGTTGACATGTGTTGCTCTGGCTTACTTGTAGCCCAGATCAGGCAATCAGGAGCAGACTGTCCCATTGCCATCATTCAATGCAGTACTATGTGAGCCAAATGTGGGATATATGGGCCTAATCTGGGCCAAAAATATTTTGCTATGTGTTTGCTAACCCAGTTGTTCGTAACATATGATACGGAATATTTTCATCAATAGCCCTTCATCAGTGTTATATATGTAAAATTATGAGGGAAAAATGCAAAAACAAATTACATGTGCATTCTCCATGGATGTTATCCACAGTTACTCGACAGAATAAAACTTGTCTTACCATGTTGTCCATCCCCTCCAGAACCTCCACATAGGACTCATTAAGGCATCGATCATAATCCAAGCTCTGTGAAAGCATAAACAAATACTGTGAAACCATCACCTTGGTAATGGATCCATTCCCCCTTTGTACCAGGGACAATATGAACAGATTAAAAATATCTGAAAATATTTCCCTTAAGGATGGCTTTTGACATGTTTTTCACCTCATAGTCTTTCCTTGGTAGAATCTCATCTTCTTCATCTCGAAATTCTCCAAGGATTGTCTGTGGGAAAATAGTAAAATACAAAAATACAGTATTATCACAGTGTCATCTAGCACAATGTATTGGAAATCAATAAAGCAGGTTTTCTGAGTTCTGGTACAGTACCACTCTGACAATTGTTTACCCAATAAGCAAATTGTGGCATTGTATCAACATTGGTCTTGGGTGATGGTGTATGTGGCGACATTCTTTTAGTATTATAAATGCAAATGCTAATGCTCCCATTTCAAATTGAACCTTTCCACTCCGTTTATGAGTCTGTATGACAGGCCTTCCAGTGCAGCTAATCTACCTAAGTGATTGTGCCAAAGATTGACAGAGGGGGACGAGGGTGTCTTCCATTCTAAAATAATAAGCTTACGCCCCAGCATCAGTGCAGTCTATACCCATTCTGCATCATAGGATGAGAGGTCCTCAAGCAGAGATGGGTCCCCCACAACATACAGCCTCTGATAGAAAGGCACACCACACTATTGTCTGCAATATTGCCATTTAAAATGCAGGCCCTGCTGCATATCTAATCAAGCACTTTCTCAACCAGGAGTCAGCCAACCACCAGGACGCATGGTTAAGGCTTCATTAAGCTGCCTAAATAATTAACAAGCGAGTGCACCCTGCGGCAGAAGCTTCAGGTCACTCGGTGGACTGTTGAGAGCAAGTCATGTGAGAAGAAGGTACAGCAGCAATCAGAGATGAGGAGCATCATGGTGAGGAGCTAGTGCCTCCAAAGGGATTGTGGCATTCGACCATGCCACGGGGTTCCCCTCACGACAGCCAGAGACAAACCAGTCCAACCATTTCTGGTTTAGCAACATCTTTTTATTAAGGTCAAACTGAAACTTACACAAAACATTAACTTAAACGGTCCAGCACTATCTGCTGGACCTCTGGCTTCCTCAAGTCTCTCTCCCAGTGTCCTTCTCCAGTGTGTGTTTCAGAGCGTTCTTTCCCCGAGTGTTCTTCCTTTGAGTCTCTAGTGCGTTCCTCCCGAGGCAGCTCTGCTGCCTCCTTTTAAAGTCTGAGGATCAATCAGCTAACAGCTCTCACCTGTGCTGATTGATCMTCTGTGGTGCAGGTGAAGGTGCTCTCTCCGCCCCTTCACCTCCACATACCCCCACCGTCAAATTCAGGTCCGGGAGCTATCCGGCCTGAACTACTCCCCCCCCTCCCATCCGGCCAGGGGAGGAACCCAGCCCACTGACTGAGGCGCTCCGGGGGTCGAGCAGGTGGGCGTCGCGGGACGCGGCATCTCTCAGGCGGCCTGGAAGGTGGGCGCCGCCGCACAGGCACCTTGGACCCCGGAACAGTGGTGCGCTGCCGTCCGGGAGACCCACCCATCGAAGCCGGGTCCGCCGGTGTCAGCTTCCCCGCCGACCGAGGCACCGGAACCGGAGGTCTCGGCTTCCCCGCCGACCTGGGCGCAGGAAGAGGAGCAGGACCCGGAGGTGTCGGCTTCCCCGCCGACCTAGGCACCGGGACCGGAGGCTTCAACTCCTCCGCGGACACGGGAGCAGGAAGAGGAGTCGGCCCGGGAGGTGTCGGCTTCACCGCCGACCTAGGCACCGGAACCGGAGGTCTCGGCTTCCCCGCCGACCTCAGCGCTGGAACCGGAGGCGTCAGCTTCCCCGCTGACCCTGGAGCCGGACCCATCGGCTTCACCGCCGATCGGGGACCAGCGCTCCCGCCCTCTCCAGCTCGGTGTCGCAGGTGAGACGCTCAAGCCTCATCCTCTCCGTCTGCCTCAGGAGCACCTCCGTCTGCCTCTGCGTCTGCCTCAGGATCTCCATCGTCTTGGCCCACTCCATGTCTCTGGCTGTGTGAAGTCCCTGTTCAGGTGCCAGTGTGGCATTCGACCA